AAAATTGGACTTATGCGCATTACGAACAATACCATAAACATACAAAGCGAATGAAAATATCCATTAAAAGAAAAAAGAGTGCATCCCTAGTTTTGACCATCGGCACTTTGATAGTGCGCGGCGTCTTGTTGTCGGCGTCATCAAAGGTCGGATACTGACCTGTCAAAGAAACTGTACAGCTATTCGGAAGTACAAGGTCAAGATACACGTGCCGGCGGCTACTATTGATATCGCATACAATCGTCGCCGCCGCGCCACACGCACTACATTTGACACTGTTTGATTGCCGCCACAGAGTACATGTTTCAAAGAATAAAATAAGTTTCCGGGTGCTCAGAATGGACACGAATACATTATCCTGATCTCGCAAGAAATCTTATAATTAGATAATAGGTAGGTATCATAATAATTTATTCTAGTAAGTAATTATTATAAAATTAACTATATGGATTTATAATAATTACTTACTATTATTGTTATTATTATTACCTAAAAGATAAACATGTTCAGTAAGTTCACTGCAAATCTCGACTTTTGCAAGTGTGTGTTTTTAAAACACAAAGTGCTCGAATATGTCGTCACACATTTGATAAATATGGTTGACACCATAGCACTTTTAAAACACTTGAAATGTGTAAAAATGGATCTGGATCTTGTCTTCAAGGCTTAATTATTAAGGAGTTGGAGGGGTACCTAGGTAAACCCAGAGCCGTCATCTCGGAAGACATTTTAGACTGTTGGAGGACGCATGAGACAAAATATCCGATTTTATCGAAGATGGCCCGTGATTTTCTTTTAATACTTGCAACTTCAGTACCTGCTGAGACATTATTTTCTAAAGCATCATTAGTAATTAGAAAACATAGAAATAGGTTAAGTGATGAGTCAGCCAGATGTTTACTTTGTATTAATGCTTTGTCAAAAGAATAAATATAAAGTAACAGTAATGTCAAAGCTGTTGTGTACATACTGTAAAGTAATTTAATTTGCATCGTATTTTATTTTTTATTTAAATAAATGGTATATTGTATAACTTTTTTATTCCATTTCATATATGGTGAGGGTCCATCAATCTCTTTCTAGAGAGATAATGTTATTTAAAATACAATGTAGTTATTGCCATTAATTTGTTTTTATATGTGTTTAACCATGTTTTAGCACATGTAAGCTTATTAAATGTAAACATTTATTAAGAAACTGACGCCCGTGGCCGTGGGACACGGTAGATAGCTCAGTTGGTTAGAGCATCGGCACGGATCGCTTAGGTTGTAGGTTCAAACCCCACCCGGTGTCAGTTGATTTTTCGAATTTCTCATTAAATGTTTAGACATTTATTAATATGGTTGGTCTTTACTATGGCTATGTTAATTCAAGCTCAATATGTACCTACTCTGTTAAGTTGTTCTAAGATCTAAAGTAACGTTTAATAAATAGTAATAGGCTAATAGATCATTGCGAGACTTGCGAGACTCTTGCTGTAAGACCAAGACCATGACCAAGACTGGGAGCGCAATACCAAGACCAAGGCCAAGACCAGGTATATTGGCGCAAGACCAAGACCAAGACTTGCTAAGTCTGGTCTTGTTCTTGCATTTGGGCAACACTAGTCTTAGAGCTAGCTGCGCTGTAGTTATATTATAGCTGCAGAACGAATAGAATCTGTTCGACTGGGGAAAGGCGACGTTCTCACAGAATACCAGCGTAATATAGCAGCCTAATGCTGCTTTTTTTTTCATATGGTGAATGTAGAGAATCGAATACCCTTTCTAATGAAAATTAAGAACTCTATAGATTGCCTCATAGGGGAGATATTTGCCGTTGTTGTCACGTTTAGCATGTGAGTATGAAAAGTATTTATATTTTTTGTTGTTATTAGTTAGACGCTGCTGTCCATCTCCTTTTGCAGTTTACCTCTGTCGCCTATTACGACACCCACGAGACGTGACATGAGTCAGTGGATATTCTTACAGCGCCACTACACGGTTGCATTTTGTTAATTTAATTTTATCAGTACCTATATGAACAAAATCATCATAGAATTTTGGCATCTTATACTATTAGTTTAACGCTTACGTGTTTCGTATGGTGAGTGTAGAGAACCGGAGACCCTTTTTACTGGAAACGAGGCATTCCATCTTAGTCCTCAGGGGTGACAACGCATCTGCATTTTGATTCGTAATCGAGGACAGATGTAGATGTCTATGGGCCACAGCAACCACTTACCATTAAGTGGACTGTGTGCTCGTTTGTCACTCTCATCTTATAAAAAAATAATATTATGCCTCGTAATGACAAGCGTAATGTTAAGTGTACCTCACTAGATGGAGCAACGACCAGCAGTCGTATTCGCTAACATCGTTGACATCCTGTCAAGGTCGTGGACCCGCCTGCAGAACGACAACGAACGATGCGCTCGCTCTGTTATCCGGCACTTTTGTACTTAGCCTGCTAAATTGCAGAGTAGAAGAGCTAAGTTAGAAAATGCCGGACTCTTGAAGGTGTCGGATTAGTCAGCGAAGGATTACCGAGCGTCTACTGTAGGTGAATTACGTATGAATTATATATGCAGATTAGATCGAGGAGCGTTTACGAGGATTTAATCGAACGCCTTCGCGTGAGAATGGTTTCGAGTTGGGTGACGCACAGCCCCACAGATAATCAGAAGCATCTCTGCGTCAAATGACGTGAGATGTTTACTAATTTTGAAGCATATACACCTTGACGTATTTACGATATTATTACAGGTGATAATATCGTAAACATGCCGATCGGGCTATCGAGTGTCTCCTTTTTTTTTATATGAGAGGGGGCAAACGAGCATGCGGCTCACCTGATGGTAAGTGACTACCGCCGCCCACGAACAACCGCAACATCAGGGGAATTGCAGAAGCGTTGCCGGCCTTTTAAAAAGGAGTAGGCTCTTTTCTTGAAGGTCCCTAAGTCGTATCGGTCCGGAAAAATCGCTGGTGGTAAACTATTCCACAAGGAAGTTGTGAGAGGAAAAAAAAACATCTTCTAAATCGCACAGTGGTGGACCGCCAATCATCCAAATGGTGTGGATGGTATCGGGAGTTCTGCCGCGATGTGCGTTCGTGAAATTTGGCAGGTGTGATTAATCCGAACAATTCCGCAGAGCACTCCCCGTGGTAAATGCGAAAGAAAATGCAAAGAGATGCAACATCTCTTCGCAGCGCCAATGAGTCGAGCCGATCGGAAAGGACTCGGTCGTCGACGATTCGAACCGCTCTGCGCTGGATGCGGTCAAGTGGAAGGAGCTGGCACTGGGGAGCCCCAGTCCAGAGATGGAAACAGTATTCCATGTGAGGCCGAACCTGCGCCTTGTAAAGCTGCAGGCGTTGAGCCGGCATGAAATACTGTCCCGCTCTGCTGAGCACGCCAAGCTTTTTAGAGGCCAATTTGGCCTTCTTTTCCAAGTGACCACGAAACTGCACGTCATTCGATATGTCGACGCCGAGGATTCCGATACTGGCTAAGGCAACAAGGGGAGTACCTTGAAACTGAGGAGATACGACAAAGGGGTTCTTTTTAGCGGTAAACGCGCAAACTTGTGTCTTCTGAGGGTTAAACTGGACTAGGTTTAGTCGCCTCCAAGCCGAGACTTTGTCCAGCAAAGACTCGACTTCAGACACGTTGTTCTAGAAGTCGTAAACGCGATTTATGATCATGAGGTCCCAGGTTCGAATCATGGGTCGAGCCAAAAACAGTTATCGGGTATTCTGTCAAGAAATTCTCACTAGTATCCCGGAGTTAGGACGTTGACAGTGTTTCAACTCTGGCACTATAATCCTGTCCTGCGCTGATGGCTAGTATCCGGTAGTCTTAGTCATCCATTTTAAAATAACATTTATAACCAATGACTCGCTCTGTCTTCGCCTGGATGGGATCTATTCATGTGTCGTTATTTAGACTTAAGATTTTTTTTTTATACAATAAGGGTGACAAACGAGCACACAGTCCATCTGATGATAAGTGATTGCTGTGGCCCATAGACATCTATCTTCGTTTGCCAATTAAAATGCAAATGCGTTGTCAGCCGTGAGGACTAAGATGGAACGCCTCTTCCAGTAAAAAGAGTCTCCGGTTCTCTACACTCACTATATGAAACACAGGAGCATTAAGCTGCCATTTTACGCTGGTATTCTGTGAGAGCGTGGTCCTTCCCCGGGCAAGCCGACCCATTCGTACTACAACTACACTATTAATATAGCTGTAGTATGGCTGTACCACGTATAAAATAATATATGAAAGATAATCATTAACGACCATTTATTTCATCTTATTTTCTATTTAAATAAAATGTCTAAATTTTTCGGATATAATTTAGTCTAGATCACTCCTGGTATTACTCTCTATTTGTTCGTTAAGCTTCATTACAATCGGTTCAGCTATTCTGAAGATTAGCTCAGACAGACGAACGAAAACTTAAAAAAACGATTGCTCATGTCTCAATAGCATGTAAACATTTTATACAAAGATATTAACAAAAAAGTCAACAAAAATTATGAAGAAAACTTTCAGAACGAGTCGTAGCTCACAAATTACCGAAACAGGACTAATTTTTTTTTTTTTTGTAATTTATGGCATTTTCTTATCATAGATTGCAATGGCATTTTGTTATCATAGACTCCAATGATAAGTTAGACTGAACTTATAGAAAGTACGAAAAATGCATATCGCAACGTATTTTATTTCTTTGCAATCTTTACCGTCGGGTGTGAGTATAGATAGCCACAGTGTGCGAGCGAAAGGTGAATAGATGCGACGTCATTTTCAATCCCATTCTTAAAGCGCACGGGTAGTATAGTTAAGTATGTCATGAATGTTGTCTACGGAAAAGTTGATCTTTCCTGTAACTAATTAATATAAAAAAATTATGTGTCAACATATATTTACGACATCAATCTGGTACAGAACTGTAAATAAGTGTTTTCTTTTTAATGTAATTTAATTATTATCTGTTTTGTTATTCTTAATTGCAGTCGCACATGATTAAAGCAGCTGGCTACCCTGCAGAAAAACACCACACGATCACAACTGACGGATACATTTTGGAATTGCACAGAATCCCAGGAGGAAGACGCAACGAGAATCTCAATTCGAGTACAAAAGCAAAGGAAGCTGTGCTGGTTGTGCACGGTATATTCGGTTGTAGCACCAACTTTCTTATCATGGGTCCTGATAGAAGCTTAGGTAAATTTCAAGGAGGGATTAGTATATACTATATATAATATAATGTCATTAAAAATAATTTGGGGGTCTGTGTTCAATAATCAATTAATTTTAACATTATCATAATATCAAAATGGACAGTACCGTAGCGCAGTGGTTTAGCAATGAGCAATAAGTGAATATTTGTATGGCCTACAAAATGTTCCGGGTCTGGATGTTTGTTGTAAAGGAGAATGGGATTTTTGGGCCTGAAGTTAACTAATTGGTTTATACTTTAAAAAATTGGCTATATTTTTCTAAAGTTAAATACAAAAAACTAGCTCATTTTACAATCTAGATTTCGAAAAAAACAATAAAATAATAAATATATTCAAGTTATCGTCGTCGTCCAATTTTGCTACAGACTTACACACTGCGGCAGTGCAGTGCCGAAAATGTATTAGAATATGGGGCATCAAGTAGCACACAGTGCACCTAAAGGTAAGTGTATACTGTTGCCCATAGACATCATCGATTAAGAATATTTAGAGATTAAATTATTTAGCCGTGGAAACTCAGGCGCTAAGCGCTCGCTGTCAATTCCACAGTACGAGAGCAACCCGGGTTCGATCCACGCCGGCATGCGGCACCAATGAAATTGTTAATTGCAATTTTAAGTGCTGATTTACCATGTACTCGGCGGTGAAAGAAAACATCGTGAGGAAACCTGCATGTCTGAGAAATAAGAAAAAAATCGAAGACATGTGAAGTACGCCCAACACGGACATTTCCTTGCTCCAAAACCCTCTCAGAAATGAGAGGTCTGTGCCCTTTTTTTCTTTTCTAAGAATATTATGCAGATGCGTTGCCACCCGTGAGGACTAAGATGGAATGCCTCATTTCCAGTAAAAAAAAGGGTCTCCGGTTCTCTACACTTCTATTTGACGCTGGTATTCTGTGAGAGCGTGGTCCTTCCCCGGTCGAGCCGACCCTTTCGTGCTATAACCATAATATAGCTGCAGCATTACAGAATCGACATCTCTTCTTCGTCCAGAATTATCATGAAACTTAAAATAATCGCGATGAAGCGATCGATGACAATCGGTTTGTTTCAGGCTACATGCTAGCAGACGCGGGATACGACGTATGGTTGGGAAATCTCAGAGGAAATTTACACACTGCGCATCTTAATCTCACTAGGAACGATCCAAAGTTTTGGGAATACAGGTAAGAATTTCTTTGAACTGTGTGTTTTGAAGTTAAACTTCTTTTGGGGTGCTAGGGAAAAATGATGAGAGTTAATTTTTAACGATGCGCGCGCGCACTGACACCTAAAAGCGACACCTTCAGTGGGTAATTGTCTCTCAAGTTTTTTTTGTTTAGTTGCGCTAAAGAAGTATAACTTCCTACGTGCGTATATTACACACACAATTTTTTTTTTATTTATATATAGAATCTCAACGGGGTAGAGCCATGCTGCAGCTATATGATGGTTGTAGCACGAATGGGTCGGTTCGTCCGGGAGAAGGACCATGCTCGTTTCGTATGGTGAATGTAAAGAACAGGAGACCCTTTTTTCTGCATACGAGGTATTCCGTCTTAGACTTCAAGACTGATAACGAACGTGAATTATAATTGAGGATAAATGTAGATGTCTATGGACCACTTAGTATCCACTTAGCATCAGATAAACTGAGTGCTCGTTTGTCAACAATATTTGTGCACGACGCAAACATAGTAATACCTCGAACGAAATGACTTACGGATTGCTTGTGGTAACCATCGCTAGTTGAACAACCTAGGGGCGGTGGGCGGAGCCATGAGAATGTTATGATCGTCGGGGCGCGCTCACGGTTCCACAACTAGCGGTGGTTGCCCACAGCAACGCGGGAAAAGCCGTAGCAATAATATGGAGAAATATAGTTTTATTGTTAAATAAATAATATTGTAACTATGTAATAACTCTCGCAATAAAGGCACCGAACAAATGGCGAGAGTTAACATAGATTTAGAATATAGAAATTAATTAATGCCAAATTGTAGAATAAGTATTGTGTGTAAAGTATATTCCCTTGTATAGTGCAATTTAATTTCATATATATTAAGCCCTTAGGCACGGTAAATAATAAACAGGGCATGTTACCGTGACGCGGCCGCGGAGCGAATGAAGCTACGCGCGCCGCGCCACGACGTTTTATATTTATATTACTGAGGCGGGGGGCAGGGTCCTCAGCTCAAAATTACTGGAATAACAACGTTTTAACCTTTACTATGAAGAAAAATTGTTATATAAGTATTAGTTTAATAAGTAATTGTAAGAATGTAATATATTTAAGTCTGTACATTAGTTTATAAGAAATTTACCTAATAAATAAAGGCGCGGGGGTGAGGCAAGGGTCCGCTGGCCAGCAACGGCCAAATAGTATATAAGACGGGCCGGTCGGAACGGTCGGCAGTCGCTCTCCAGCCACAGAAAAGAAAACAGCAGCAAGAAAAGAAAAAGTTCCTCCTCACTTCCGCTTGCCTCCAGTTTAAGCAAGACCAACGTGTTTCACTCATTTTTCGAACGGCGTTACGGCGATCCGTAACATTAATGGTCCTTCGAGAAGCCGGATTACTGGAAGAAAAAGACAATATCGTTCTTGGTATTGCCGGAAGAAAGAAGCAAACCGCAAGAACGAAAAAATATTATTGTGAAGAAAAATGGTGATTACACGTAGTAACAACGGAGAATCATCGAAGCGTCGCAATAATGAACAAACAACCCAGGGGGCCACAGAAGAGGCCTCTGGGGGCGATTCAACCGCTACTGGTACATCCAACACCACGAGCGAAACCATAACGGTCAGCGATACAACGGCTACCTCTGCGACCGATAACACGGCCGCAACGGAAGAAACCCAGCAAGAGAGGGATCAAAGATCGCAGCGCACACTAAGGCCCGACGAGACTAGGTCACGCCACTCCGTAGCCTCACGCAAGAGACTCCTCGCGGAGTTAGAGGCGAAAGAGCGGTTAGCCGAACTCAAGCTCGAGCAGGCTCAGTTGCAAGCAAGAACGGAATTGCAAGAAATACACGTGCAGCGATTACAAGCAGAAGTCGGATCGCATCGCAACCCGCTCCGCAGTTTGCATTACAACCCGCGCCGCAGAAAGAAGACAATGGGCAGGCGCAGCAACAAATCGACGTCGCTACCTTAGCCGCTGCTCTATCACAAGCAGTACGAAGCACAAGGGAGCCGCCGAAATATGTGCAAGAGTGCTACATTCAATGGTAGCAGCAAAGAATGGCTCAGCTTCAAAACAACGTACGAAGAATCATCAAAGTACTTCACGATGAACGAAAACATAGCGAGAATACGCCGAAGCTGAAAAGGGACAGCAAAAGAAGCCGCAGGTTGCCTACTTATAAGCCAACCAGATCCCAGCCTAATAATGGAAGCTTTGGAAAGGAGATTCGGACGACCAGAAGCGTTAATCCACTTGGTAATAGAGAAGCTGAAGCTGCTGAACAAAGTTACGGACAATCCCAGGGAGCTATGCATATTCGCAAATCGCATAGCAAACGTAGTGGGCACCGTGGAAGCACTCAAGAAAGCACACTATCTGCATAGTCCGGAAATGACGCGAGTTATCACAGACAAACTCACGCCTATATTGAGAAGCAAATGGTACGACTATGCAGCCAGAAAGAAAGAAGATATCCCAGAGCTTAAGAAGATATCAATGTTCTTAAACGATGAAGCGGACAAATGCAGCGCGTATGCCTTGCCGGAGTTCATGGCAGAGGACAGCGAGACGAGAGAGCGAAGACCGAGAAAAATAGAACGTGCCTTCGCCACAAGCAAGAAACAATATGAAGAACGCTGCCCTCAATGCAAACAAGAACACAAACTGCCCGATTGCAAGTCATACGCCGCTCTGTCCACAAATGACAGATGGGAAGTAGCAAAGAAGAATAATATTTGCTACCGCTGTCTGCGAGGTAAACATCGCCGATTGCTGTGTAAAGCTCCACTGTGCGGAAAAAGCGGATGCATGATGAAACACCATAAATTGCTGCATCACGACAGAACAGCAGAAATTGAAAAGGAACCCGCTATAGAAACCGCAACATCGGCAAGGGAGGTCATCACAGCGACTCAACCGTACAAACACCGCCGCGCTTATCTAAAGATTGCGCCTGTAACAATAAGGGGGCCGCTAAGCTGCGTCGAAACATACGCATTATTGGATGAAGGAAGCACGGTCACCTTAGTCGATACTTAAATCGCCGACGTCATCGGCGCCGACGGCCCAGCCCACGCAATGTGGATACAAGGGGTCGGCTCGGAGGTGAAACATGAGAAGAGCAAGATCGTCAGCTTTAAAATAAGAGGAAAGTACGCGCAAGAGGAACACAACATAGAAGCAGCGCGTACGGTAGAGCGATTGGACTTCGCGCCAGAATCCGTGAATGAAAATCACTTGGAGAATTGCCAACATCTTGTTGGATATCAAAGATAAAAAAATATCACCTACGAACGCGCCTCACCGAAAATACTAATCGGACAAGATAACTGGCACCTCATAGTGTCTAGAAAACTGCGCGCCGGTCGTCGAGACCAACCAGTCGCCTCACATACCAACCTGGGCTGGGTTCTGCATGGCTGTCATAGCTCATTGACGTCGACGGTCACCTTCTGCGGCAGACTACATCAGAGGGAAGATACACAGCCGATAGAAGAGGAAATAAAAAATTATTTCAAATTAGAATCGCTGTGCATCGAGCCAAGAAGACCGAAAGAAGATCCCGAGCAGCGAGCTATGCAAATGTTGAGGGAAACCAGCCAGAGGTCGGCGGACGGCAGATTCGAGACAGGGTTGTTGTGGAAACAAAAGGATTTCCAAATACCGAATAATTACAAGGACGTGGAAAGGCGCCTGCACACCTTAGAGAAGAGGCTCGACCGAGACAGCAATCTCAAGCTACAGTACGAAGAACGCATACAGAACCTTTTCAACTCAGGTTACGCAGAGCGCGCGCCCATGCCACCGCCGCAAGGAAGGACATGGTATCTGCCACACTTCCCAGTCATCAACCCTGCGAAACCAGACAAGCCGCCGAGATTGGTGCACGACGCCGCAGCGAAGACAGCCGGAATATGTCTCAACGATATGCTTCACTCGGGGCCTGACTTGTTACAATCATTGCCCGGAGTAATCATGAGGTTCCGACAGTATCCGTATGCAGTGAGCGCCGACATAAAAGAAATGTTCATGCAGATCAAAGTGCGCAAAGAAGATAGAGACGTTTTACGTTTCTTATGGAGAAGCAAGCGGCGGGAGGACCAACCGGAAGAATATAGGATGACATAAATCATCTTTGGAGCGACATCATCACCGTGCACAGCATTATACATCAAAAATAAAAATGCTGAAGAACATGCAGAAGCATACCCAGAAGCTGCGGTCGCCATAAAAAGAAATAACTATATGGACGACTACTTGCAGAGCTTCCACTCTGTCACGGAAGCTCAGCAAACGGTAAAAGCAGTCGATCATGTCCACAAACAAGCGGGATTCGTACTCAGCGGGTGGACATCGAACGAAGAGAAAACAATAGAAGAAATAACGACAGAACATAAACAACACGACGCGACCGTGACCGGCCTGCTCTGGCATGTACAAAGCGATCATATTGGATTTAATACTCACAATATGAAGATGCCTGCCGACGTAAAAGAAAAACAACGCTTGCCAACTAAACGTGAAGCGTTGAGCATCATAATGGCATTATTTGATCCGCTGGGATTAATATCACCAGTGACCACCCCAGCGAAGAGAATATTCCAAGACACATGGCGTTACAAGACGGACTGGGACGACCCTCTGCCCACAGAATTAAAAGAAAAATGGGAAGACTGGATTACTTCACTTAACGCCATAGAACAACTGAGAATACCGCGATGCTACGATTACAATCCGGTGTCGACGCGCCAACTACACACATTCGTCGACGCAAGCGAGGAGGCCTACGCAGCAGCCGTGTATTGGAGAACGGAGCGAGCAGACGGCAGCGTTAACGTATCATTGGCTGCCGCCAAGAGCCGCGTAACACCACTGAAGCCAGTCTCCATACCACGGCTCGAGTTACAAGCGGCACTGCTGGGAGCTCGTCTCGCTCAGACCGTGGTCGATGAGCACGATGGTGATATAGCGGGCAAGACATACTGGTGCGACTCTCG